CCAAGCCGCACTGCGCACCCCCAAGCCGCACTGCGCACCCCAAGCCACACTGCGCACCCCAAGCCACACTGCACACCCCCAAGCCACACTGCGCATCTCCAATCTGCACTGAGCACCCCAATCCGCACTGCGCACCTCCAATTCGCACTGAGCACCCCCAATCTGCACTGCACATCCCCAGTCCGCACTGCGCACCCCCGAGCCACACTGCGCACCTGTTCCAGTTAACCTTCTCCTCTCAGACTGAGAAGCCCTTCACACTTCCCACCCTTCACTCCGCTGCTTTATTCTGTATGTGCCGATGACCCCAACCCATGGCTGAGACCCCTCAAGATTGATGCACAACGTTAACCTTCCCTTGGCTTTTTGAATTGGTGGTCTTAGACCATAATTGTCCACTTGTAACTGACTTATGTCAGTCAGCATCATTTGCTCCAGATGCACCCACAATGTGCAGTATTTCACAGTTTCTGACAGCTGGTTGGTGGAGTGGGTATTTATGGCAGCCAACAGCCATGACCTTTCTCTGACGGAGACGGTTGGTAGGTTCCAGCTGCCGTGCGAGTGCTTAACCACTGCACCACCAGGACTCCCTCAAGCTTCCGGTGGTGGACAGTATTTACTGTTTTTAGACAAGATTGGGCATGTTCAGGATAGTATGGCCGTAGACAGTATTTACTATTTTTAGTTAAATTTTTTTCCACTTGTGATTTGAGTGAAAGTTTACCAAGAGAAGTGGTTTTTTTACTTTGAACGTTCATACGCATTTTGTGTTATAACATTAGTGACCGTGTCCCCTGCGCAGTCACAGCCTTCCCACTCCTTCCCTGTGATCCTCATTTCCGCGAATCCCTCTCGTCTACCCCTTTCAGCCTTCTGGGCTTGTGGTTGGTTGCTCTCTGGCGTGAATGCCTCACTGGTAGTATGTTCCCGTGACAGGGGGCTGAGCTTTGCCTGAGGTTTGACGTTTGACCAAGGCCCACAGTCTCAGGGGTTCTACCTGCCTCTGTGTTACCAGTAAGTCTGCCTTTTATGTGTTTTTTAGTTTTTTTTAAAATTAATTTTAATGAAAGTTACAGAGATTCCAATCATTCATTGTTGCACTTTTCTCCCTGCCCACTCCCTCCCCCATTCAGTCTTCTCCTTGAAAAGTAAAAGAAAAACTCTTTCATTGTTATACAATCCCTCCCCCCAAGTCTACTCCACTGTTCAGCCTTCATTCTGGACTCCTGTCATGACAGTAATACCCAATCATATATCCCTTTTAAACAGTTCTCTCCCTCATCTGTTTCAATGCCGTGTGCATCATTCCTCCCCTCCTTCTCTGTCTTCCCTCAACCTCAATATCAGTCCCGTTTTACAACAGTGGCCCAATGCAATATTTGTCCTTTTGTGACTGAGATATTTCACTCAGCATAGTGTCCACCAGGCTCACCCATTTTATATAATATTTCATGAGTTCCTTGTTTTTCAATGATGCATAGTATTTTTGAGTTTTGTTTCACCTGATACTCTATCTGGTATCTTCCACTGTGATCCCTTTAACAGTGATCAATGGGAAATGCTTGATTTCTGATCATCTATCTTTTCTAGAAGTTCATAAAAATGGGAGCACATAGTGCGTGTTTGTGTCTGTTGCTCTTTTTCAGAGTGGAGTGGCCACAGGGGTATCTGGGCACCAGCTAGTCCTGGTCTCAGGGTCAAGAGTTGAGCTCTGAATGGCTGGTAATTGGCCTCTTGGACTAATTGTCTCAGTCCACCTTCATTTATCTCTCCTCTTCTTTGCTCCAGACGAGGAGAGACCAGTAGTTGCACCTCAGAGGACTGCTTGCAAACTTGTTAGACCCAGGTCACTGCCGACCACTGTAGGGTGTAGGACGTTGTCTCTGTGGACTATGCTGTGATAGTTAGTTGATGCTACTCAAGAGAGCGGGTCCAAGGCCCCACAACCATCATCTCTTTCCCTCTGGGTGTTGTGATTACCAAGTTTGCACATCACTGTGTCCTCTTGACTGTAGTATATCCATGGGTGCATTTGAAAGCTCACCACCCCCTGGTTAGCGTACCACACTGTGGTGGCGTGTGTGCTGCCGTGATGAGGGAAGCAATGCCCTCAGTACCTCAAACACCAACAGGGCCGTTGATGGTGGGCGGGCTTTAGTGGGGCTTCCTGACTAAGACAGACAAAGCAGGACTGGCCACCTACTTCTGAAGTAACAAGCCCTGGTCCCTCCATGGGTGGGTTGAGCTCAGCCCTGCACAGCACTGGTAGGTGAGCCCCCAGCTGGAAGGCACCTAAAACACGACATGCAAGGAGCTGCCTCCTCCATGTAGAGTCTAATCAAGGACACTGGTACAGGGAAAGCTTTCCTTCAATGAGGGGCCTTCGTTCACTGACGTGGCCGGACCCAAAGTGAAGAGAAACATCCATTCATAACTGCCACATGGGATGCATGAAGTATGAACGTGGGGAAATGGGAAGTTGTCAAAAATGAAACACATAAAGACCAACATGCTAGGCATGACTGAGCGGAGATGGACGGATATTGGCCATCTTAAATCAGAATCTGATTATGAGCCACCTAGGATCTGAATATGATCTACTATGCTGGGAACGACAAGTGGAAATTTTCACTCTTCAAAGGACCTTGCAAGGTCTACCCTGAAGTTCAAAGCCCGCAGTGATGGGACCATGTGCACTCGTGTTCAGGCAAACCTGCCAACGCACCCATTACGAAGACAGATGCACTAGGTGCAAAGATGAAGAAACAGGATTTTGACCAACTTTTACCACCCCAAACTGATGAAACACACAATCAAAATGCATCAGCCATAATTGATGGTGAGGGGAATGCAAAATCGGAAACACAGTAAAAGGAACACAGAAGTTGGGAACCAAGAAGTAATAGTGCTTAGAAAACCGGGCCTGAGTGACAGAGATGAAGCTGGAGATGGCAGGAGAGGACTTCGTACGATCAGTGATTTATGCTTTGCGGCGGATACCTTTTTACACAAACAAACAAATGAACAAACAACAACCCACCATACCTGGAGAACACACACACGGAAGCTGGCTGATGGAAACATGGGAATCTGCTTGACAACAGCTGGGAAAAGAGCCAGTAGGAAAGCTCAAGATCAGCATTCAAAACAAGGCCAGGTGCTGGCGGTGGAACGGACTGTCAGTTACTCATACGAACGTTCAAACTCAAACCGAAGAAAATGAAAACAATTCCACAAGAGCCCAAGCATGACCTTGAGGTTATTCAACCTGCATTTAGAGACCATCTCGAGAATTACTGCATTCAACAGTAATGACGGAAGACTATACGAATTGTGGGGCTAGGTCAAGGACATCATGAAAATAGAAAGAAAAATGTTAAAAAGACAGAGGAAAAAGCAAAGACCAAAATCAACAATTAACTTGGATCAACAATTAACACCCTTGGTACCAGCAGTCAGGAAATCAGGCGACATATTGCATTGAGCAAGTCTGTTTTCAGGGAACCTCTCCAAAACACTGAACAGACATCATTGTTGAAGAGTAATGTCTTTTTGAAGACTAAGGTGCCCCTGACGTAGGTTCTCTCCATCACCTGCTGTTCATCAAAAAGCACGACAATGACTAAGGATGGCAGAAGAAGAATTGACATCTTTGAATTGTAGTGCTGGATGTTAGAAGAAATGCAGAAACTTGCTCTGGAATGTAGAGAAACCAAAGTGAAAGGAAGAGAGATAGGAGAGCTGAACAGATTCAAAGAGCAGCTCGAGAAGAGAAAGAAAAACATGATAATGAAATGAGCAAAGACCTGGAGTCAGCCAACCAGAAAGGAGGAACATGCTTAGCATTTCTCAAGATAAAAAAACTGAAGAATGCAACAACAAATGAATGAAAATCCAAAAGCTCTGTAAACGTTCATGAAAATGAATTTTAAAAAAAGAACTGAAAAAAAATCAAGACACAAGTTGCAGTACTGAAGGATTGATTCTTTGGACAAAATACTGAACAAGACAGGAAGTATCAAGATGAGATGGAAGAAACACACCAACTGTGTCATTGTACCAAGAAGAACTGCTTGACTTGGATCATTTCAGGAAGGAGCATAAGAGCAAGAAGCAGTGATATCGAAGGAAGAAGTCCAAACTATACACTGAGGACATTGGCCACAAATATGGCCCCAGGAACAGAAATACCAAGCGACATGTTTCAGCAAACGCGTGTAGCTCTGGATGTGCTGTCTACAGTACGCCACACACTTGAAAGGCAGCTCCCTGAGCAAAAGGACAATTGTGGTACAAGACCACTACCATTGAAAACTAAGGAGGGAAAAAAAGAAAACAAAAACTAAGGGGATATTTAGACACAGAATCCACCTTGGAAAGTTAACAAGGAGGAGCAAAGAGGAAGGGGGGAGCAAGAAACGAATTGAAAAAAGAACAACTACCAGGTCAGCTAACGGAAAGAGACCCATATTTGTCCTCATTAAAAAAAAAAAA